GTTGTAACTGGTTATAAATGTGTGTGGGTATGTGTGTGTGCATGGCTGTCAAAACTCCAAGAACAGGTCAAGTAGCTGTGGGAAGTCAGTTGTAAATTTGAACACTTGCTAAGCAACCAGCCATTAAGCGAGAACCACTTGTATTTGGTTTGCCTTAAGGGTTCAGAGCTGTATGGAATCTAGTTTCCTTTGACCCTTTGGGGGATTGCAAAAGGTCTGGATGGGGGAATCCTCATAGGGACATGACCACCAAGCCATGCCCACCAAAGAAGCTACGCCCACAGAACCGGTAGTAAAAATGTTTGAATACCACCACTGGTTGCAAGTACTGTGCAAAACATGACTTTGCAAAAGAGGAAGGTGTTCATGTGTCCAAAGAATGGAAACATTTACAGATTGAGTCAGCAGGGAAAAATAAAGAACTATAACAAACGTCTCTAAGAAAAAAAAAAATGAAAGAACATTTTTCATCAAAAGCTCATGCCATTTGCACAGAGAAACAAGGGGAGCAGGATGCTATAACAAAAGGAATAGATAAGATGTCTGAAAAATATTTAGGTTCCACTTGTAGAATATCCAATACAGTTTACAGTCTGGCAAAAGGATGTAAACCATTATCAGACATAGAAGATGCGATAGAATTGCAAATTAAAAATGGACTAAATATGGGAATAGGATTGCATTCACTGTCAACTTCAGTGAAAATAGTTGATTTCATTGCAAAAGAAATTAAAACCAAATTGTTTACTAAAATTATTGAAAATAACCTGAAAATATGTTTGATTATTGACGAAGCCTCAATGCTATCATGCAAATCAGTTGTGATACTTTTCTTAAAAGTTGAGGATTCAGTTAGTTCACCAACAATTTTTGTTGAGCTTGTTGAATTGGGAAAACAAGATGCAGAGACAATATGTTCTTCAGTTATGGAAAGTTTAAATAATGTTGAATTTACTGAAAACTATCTAGAAAAAAATTTAATAGCATTTTGCTCTGATGGTGCCAGCGTTATGTTTGGGAGAAAATCTGGAGTGAGCACTAGAATAGCAAAAGAGTTTCCAAACATCATAATATGGCACTGCTTAAACCAACACCTCCAATTTGTTTTAGATGACTCCATAAAGGAAATAAAGCAACTAAATCATTTAAAAATATTTATTGACAAGATATACACTTTTTTTCAGAAATCCAATAAGAGCTAAATGGAACTTACCAAAATATCCGAACAACTTGGATTTGAATAATAAAGATTGGTAGAGTTTTGGGACAAAGATGGACTGCCTGTAGTTTAAGGTCAACCCTAGCTGTGTGGCACGCTTATCCAGCACTATATCAGTATTTTCATTCAAATGAAAAATATTCAGGTATGGCTGCCCGTCTTGAAAATATATATTTGATAACTGATTTGGCATTGATGATTGATATTCTAAATGAAATTTCTCTTCTTTCAAATGCACTGCAAGCAACAAATACAGATGTTATAAAGGCGGGAAAACTTGTGATAAGATCAATTAAAGCATTTGAAATGCTTAGAAAGGGAAAGGGTCCATATGAAAAAAAAGTTGATGGATTAATTACTTCAGAAATCTTCAAAAATATAAAATTTGTACAAAATCATTGATTTGCTGCACTTCCTCAGGAAAGACTTTTAGAAAGCATCATAACACCTTATTTGTGGGGTGCTGCAAGGGTCAGTCCTCTCACCCCTTCTGTTCAACATTTTTGTAAAACTGCTAGGCGAGATCATCCGTGGTTTCGGGGTGAGTGTTCATCAGTATGCTGATGACACACAGCTATACATCTCCACCCCAGACCACCCCAATGATGCCCCTGCTGTGATGTCCCGTTGCCTGGAGGCCGTGCGGATCTGGATGGGGAGAAACAAGCTCAGACTCAACTCCTCCAAGACCGAGTGGCTATGGCTTCCGGCGTCCCGGTATACTTAGCTGGTACCATCACTGACAATTGGGGATGAGATCTTGCTCCCCACAGAGAGGGCCTGCAACTTGGGTGTCCTCCTGGATTCATGGCTATCTTTAGAAGATCATTTGATGGCCGTGGCCAGGGGTGCCTTTTATCAGGTTTGCCTGATCCGCAGTTGTGTCCCTTTCTGGATCGGGATGCCTTGCGCACGGTCACTCGTGCCCTAGACACCTCCCGTATGGACTATTGTAATGCTCTCTACATGGGGCTCCCCTTGAAAAGCACCCAGAGGCTCCAACTGGTCCAGAATGTAGCCGCGCGGGTGATTATGGGCGCAGCTCGTTGTGCCTATGTAACACCTCTCCTACGCGAGCTGCACTGGCTCCCGGTGGTCTTCCGGGTGCGATTCAAGGTCTTAGTTATCACTTTTAAAGCGCTCCATGGCTTAGGACCTGGGTACCTACGAGACCGTCTTTTGCCACCAATAGCCTCCCACTGACCAGTTCGTTCTCATAGGGAGGGATTACTCAGGGTACCGTCAGTCAAATTATGCCGACTGGCGGCTCCCAGGGGGAGGGCCTTCTCTGTGAGGGCTCCAACCCTTTGGAATGAACTGCCCCCTGAGATACGAAATATCCCTGATCTCCGTGCTTTCCGCCGTGCCCTCAATACCCTGATGTTCCAACAGGCGGGGCTAAACATATGAACATGTGAATGTTTTTAAAATGTTATCTAATTTTAGGTTCTATTTAATTGGGCCAAACTATGTTATAATAATAATTTTAATTAGCAATTTTATGATGTTTGTGTATCTATATTTTTCTTGACTGTACACCGCCTTGAGTCCTATGGGAGAAAGGCAGTATAGAAATATAATAAATAAATAAATAAAATAAATAAATAACAAATTTGAATAAAAGACTAATGGATTGTGAACATTTAAAAACAGGTAGCCAATTTCAAGACACGAATAAATTACAATTTCTCAATTTTTTAGAGCCAGATTACTGGAATATTGAAGAAGTAGTGAACTGTTCTTCAGCTGCTGCATGGACAGCAGCTGAAGAACAATTGCTTGCATTTAGTGACATTTTTAATTACAAAATTAATATCAATGATTATAAAGATTTTGTAGAAAATGTTTTTTAAAATTCCCAAAAATATGCAATTCCTGACAGTTTTAAAAAAGCTAAAGGTATTGTCAGAACAATTGCTATAGGTTCAGCAGAAGCGGAAAGGGTTTTTTCAAAAATGAACATCATATGTTCAGAGAAGAGTACTTGCCTGTTTCCAACATAACGAACCTAATAACCATTAGTGTAATTGACCTATCTCTAAAAGAATGGGACCTATTCCTATAGTTAAAAAATGGTTGAGAGCACATCACACAGCAGATGATGCTCGAGTAAAAGTGAAGAAGTGCAAGTGAGGAGGATGCCAATGAAATATCGATTTGGAAATATCTTAAAGACGAATAACACTTTTGTTGTTCTTATATAAGTATTTGTGTACCTCTTTTATTGTTTTGTGTACTTCTTTTATTCTTATTTAAGTATTAAATGCACGAAATAATAAACTACCTTTGGTATATCTTCTTTTTGTAGGTCATGACTGCAAAGAAGTGACGTTGACTTGGCCATGCCCACCCAATCACATGACCACCAGCCACGCCCACCCAGTCACATGACCAAGCCACACCCACTAAGCCACACCCACCCAGTCACATGACCACCAAGCCACATCCATCAAGCCACATCCACAGAACTGATAGTAAAATTTTTTGAATCCCACCACTGGAGACAAAGTTTCGTCTGCTTGCAAATGGGATGCTTTGAAACAGTGATAAGTGCACCGGGATTGCCTGCCTCCCCGCCCCATACCATCGCTCTATCATGCACTTTTCACCCAGAAGGAGATGAAGGTTCGTCTGCTTGCAAATGCTAATCGTTCCATTTCAAAGCGTCCCATTCGCAAGCAGACAAAGCTAGGTCTATGTGGTAGATGCAGAGGCGGGGGAGGGAGGGGGGAGACAGGTGATATGGATGTGCTGTGCGGCTGCCTGGCTCACTGGAGGCTCACGGGAGGCTTGTGCAACAACACTGACAGAAGGCAGAGGCATGGGGAAGGGGGGAGGAAACTGCCTGCCCGCTCCCTCCCACCATCTGCTTGCCTGTGGCTGCAATGGCTTACAAGGCTTCCCAGGTCAGACACATTTTTCGCCCAGACGGGAGAAATGAGGGAGATTCATTTATTAATTAAGCGATTAGCTCTGTTTCAAAGCATCCCATTTGCAAGCAGACAAAGCTTTGTCTCCCTCTAGGTGAAAAGTGCACGGCGGAGCTATGGGGGGGGGGGGGGGGGGAAGACAGGCAATCCCAACACTTAGCTCCATTTCAAAGCATCCCATTTGCAAGCAGATGAAGCTTCAAGTCTCTGTCATTTTTCTGTCCAGTTAAAAAGTGTGTCTGCCCTGGGAAGACCTGTAAACCATTGTGGCCATGGCCAAGCAGATAGTGAGAGGGAATCGGCGGTCGGCCGCAAAATAAGACACCTCAAAAATAAGTCCTAGTGATTATTTTGAGGGACCTGGTCTTATTTTCGGGGAAACACGGTATGCATTGATTTTGGTATTTTGGTATGTGTTATTTAGGAATTATTGATATTGTGCAAGTCTTGTACACAGTTTGCCTAAATACATTCATACTGTTTTGCAGAACCATTTTAAACCATAAACACCAGATATGTAAATGTATTTTTTTTAAAAAAATATATTGAAACCCAAATCAGTTTTACTTCATATTACTTGAATTACAGTTCTAGGAATTTACTTCTTCCTCTACTTGCAAGAGGCATTTTAAAATGTTTATACAGTCAGCTTTCTTTCTCTAGGAAAAGGAAGGCAAGTTTTGTTTGTGGCTGAAAAACACACAGTATTTTTTTTAAAGATTTGCTTGCCAGCTCACCATATAAAAAAGTCTAGTTTGGCCCTGCTATGATGAGCATTAAATTCTTTGCCCAGTATCAAATTCCAGATTCTTTAGGCATTTGTAGGAAAGGAGCATTATGTGGGCTCTTACCTTCTTGATAGTTGTGAGCACCATCTGGCAATGCAAGAAAAGGCAGGTATTTCCATTCCTCTGGCAAAGTATTACTATCATAACTTTCTCCAAGAATTAGAGAAGGATAGGAGAACTCAATCTGAAAGGAGAAATATATTACATGCTTAAATGCAATAATACAAGAGAACCTTACCAAATCTATACTCAGTCATCAGGTATCCAAATATATAACTGTTAAATAATTCTACTGTTACTTCAAGCAAGAGGTGTAGAGAATCCCAAGCAGCATATGAAATTTATTGTAGCAAAAACTTCAGATTAAAAAAATAAGGTTGAGTTCTATTCCACAAAGAAAATGATTAAACAGATCAGCAGATTAATAACCCTAATCAGCCTGGATTATAAATATTTTTAATAGACTGAAGCAGTGGAAGAGCTGGGACTTGGGTTGAAACTAAGTGAAGAGGCTATTTGATCTACTAGATACTGTAATGATTGCCTCTCCTTCCAATTTAAGAAAGTAAGAACACTTGAAACGTAATAGTTCAAAAGGATCCTTTTATTAAGCAGAAGTTTAAAGCAAGATCTCCGTACTCTTGCATGTAGGTTAGCACGTGTGCCACAAAGAATCCTAATTTCTGCGGATTCCCATCAAACTTCACCCCAAGGGAAGGAGTTTCTCTTTCCAGTTGCGGGACTCGGGGCTGGTTGAGGATAGGCGCCGGTGCGCGTGCTGCCGGGGGGGGAGGGTTTGCTGGGTAATCTCCCATTGCTGCTGCGCCATCTACTCAATAGGCAGGCTCCAGAAGGGGGGTGCCTCCCGTGGCATCATCCGTGACTGCTGCTCTTTCCGTGCCCTTTGGCTGTTGCCCTGGTTCCCCTCGGATGTTGAGATTTTCCAAAGTTTCCATCATCAATTGGGTTATATGCCTTTTCAGATAATCCTCCCTCAGTGGTGCTTTGGTTAGTCCCCCCTGGTCAGCAAGAGCTTCTACTCCGGAGTGGAAACTCTAACCAGAGTTTCCACTCCGGTTTTCGGTTGCCACGGCTGAGGGTGACTCCTCTGGTTCTCTCATCCCAGCTATCTTTCTTCCCCGATGCCAATTGACTAGCAGGGCTTTTCAGGATTCTCCAGGGTTACCTCATCCTCTCCGATGGGGTATACGAAACAGGCATCAGACTGGGTGGCGGTTGATGTCTCCCCCCCAACAATCGACTTCTCCCAGTTCTCTGCTTCATTCAGACATAGTTTGCAAGGTCCCCTCAGTAGAACAAAGATTGCTTCTCTGGGTTGACCGTTTTGCAGATCTTGCTTTCTGTAAGGATTGCCTCTCCTTCCAACTTAAGAAAGTAAGAACTCTTGAAACGTAATAGTTCAAAAGGATCCTTTTATTAAGCAGAAGTGATAGCAACCCAGTTTAAAGCAAGGTCTGAATACCCTTAGGCAAGACAAGTAGGATTAAAGCAGTAGAGACCCCTCCTTTTAAGTCAGAATGCAGATTTTAGCCAATACACAAGTGAAGATGTTTTCTTTACTAGTTTCCCTGAGAACCCAAGTAACCATGCATTCACACCGTTATCTTTTAAAGTGAAACAACCCACATGGCTATCATAAACATTCCTCTATGTTAAGAGGATCTCAGGGCTCTTTGGTGCCAGGATATAGGTTGTAAAATATCTGTTGACACAAGCAATGCTATTAAATCAAATCCAAGTCTCCCCCTTCTTCCAATTGAATGGCAGTATCATTTTTAGGGATCTGACAGATACTTTGAATTATTGGATTATTGAATACTGGGGGATTTGATGGGCCTCCTGGATTATAAATTATAAATAACGACTGATAGAAGACAAAGAAACAACCACTGTTTGGACTGAGCTCTTGGACTAGCTCTGTGGATTACAAGTAATAACTGATCTGGAGGAATGGTTGGTTTTGAGAGAATTGTACCCTTGGTTGGTTTCTTAACTTTTTTTTTTAATGTTTTATTTGCAGGTTTTTTTTCACACTATACATATTTTGTGGACAGTGTATTGACTGGGTCACGGCTTTTTTAAACAATGCTAACAATAATAATACAAATAAGTATGTGTAATCCTAATTTTCCAACTTCAACAATACTATTCTCTCTTTATAATTCTTTATCATTTTTCCCATTAATTGATTTAAACATAGATAACATTTCTTTCCGCTATGTATTTGTTATCCCCTACTAAATTACTAATATTTAATATTTTAAAAATTGCTCATTATTCCACCATAACTTCAATATTCCAAATGTGTAGGATTACTAATAAAGCAAAATATTAACAATATTTAATCAATCCCAAGAGTGTATCTCAAAATCCCCACAATTTCTAATTCTTAATATTTTAAACCCACAATATACTTTAACACACTATTAATATTGATAATACAATTAGATTACCTAACCCTAAATTTCCATCTACTAAGTTTAATTTATTTTTAGTTATAAGTTATATTATCTGTTATACAGTATACTATTTTCCCTATTTGTATTTTTCAATTTTATTAATATATTTTCTTATTATCTATCATCTCTTAAACCTTTTTGAAATTCCATCATTTAAATGACTTTTTAGTCAGCCTTTTATCTCTCTCTCGGAATCTTGTAGCTCTTTTTGATATATTTGTGCCTACTGAATATTCCCTTCTGGGTGCCCTTTGTCTCTTTCTGCTGTATTATTTGAACACCCATCCACAAGACTTCCTTTTTTTTTTGAAAATATTTTTCTTTTCTTTCTGTGTTCTATTACAAACTTTTAAGGAGCTATCTAATTGACTCCTACTTATTAATCCTTTCTCTTCTTTATTTTTAGCTTCTTGCATATTATTTTGATTTTCTCCTTCCACTGTTTCTTCTAATTTCTCATCTATTTCCTGAATATCGTGTTGCTCTTTTCCCAATTGTTGAATGACTTCTGCATTCATTTCTGTATCTTTAAACAATCCCCTTGTCTCCTTATTGTTCTTTATAGTTTATATATTTATAAACTTATATATTTATATATTTATATTTATAAAATAAAGAATATTTCTTTATATACCTCTATCATCCCCTGTAAATCCATTTTATAACAATTTAATAGAAATTACTCAGTATATTTCTATAGTTCCACCATCTTAATATTTAAAAACTCCTGCTTAATAAGATTTCATCAATCCCATAATTATACCTCCAAAACCCCTAAATTTATGTCTTTAAAATTCTTTAGTAATTTACAGCCTTACAGTTTTCCAATTATATATCTTCCCAATTGTCCAAATTGTAGTTTTATTTAACTTCCTTCTTTTCTCTTTTTTCTATCCCTTTCTTCTTTTGTCTTGTAGAATGCTCTGTTGAATAACATTAATAGTCCAAATACAAATTAATGTATTAGATTCCTCCAATCTTTCAGATCCATAATCCAATAGCCAATTTTAATAAAGCTTAATTATTTGCAAGTTAGTTCCTTTTAGAAATATTCAGAAGGAGAAAAAAAAACTCATTAAATATTCTCAAAATATCCAAGTCTTCTTCTAACATAAAGTCAAGGGCAGGCCATCTTCCAGATGCTGTTACTTCTATTCTGTGTATTAGACTTTGTGTGTATTGGTTTCACTTTCACTGAGTATACTGTGGCTATGGTGTAGTACTTCTCTTTTTCCAGTATATGGCGCTCTATATGTTTTAAAGCTTCCCTTGAGCTTCTTTCGCCCCTTGTTTTTTATGTTTTTTTTCTCCATGTATTTAATCACTTTCTTATGCTTGGAAGTTATCTTTTAAGATTCTTGTACTTAAATCTTTAGAATAAAAGTTGGTAATTATATCACCCAGTTTCAATGCTCTGTCCACGATCCGCTCCAGTACAAGTCTTACAGTCCCAGTTGTCCCAGCTTTGTGACTGCCAAAAATGGCCGACGTGCCTGTTGCCATTCGGGAGAGCTTGCTTCAGACCTAATGAGGAAATTGCGAGTTCCTCGTGGTCAGCGAAACGCCTCTCCTTCCTTCACTGCCCCTAAAAGGCGGCTATGACCCCATAGGATCTCCCAACAGCAGTTACTGGCTGGATTTTGCTGAGCTCGATAGAGCACGCTATTTTCCAGCCGTTCTTGCCATGAAGTCAACTGGAAGTCGTTCAGTTGGTTTCTTTTTTTTTTTTTTGAAAAAAGTTTTTTTTTATTTTTTAAAAACATAAACATAAAACACATCTTTTCCAAAACGAAGCATTGATCCGGTCACAAATTAATACAAATCATTAACAAATCTTATTTTTCAATTAACACAACTTAATATTTTACTCAGTTATTTTCCTAAATTCTATCAATTTAACTATGCCATTATCCCAAAAACCTGTTACTTAAATCTTAAATCCTAACCAAAGATCATTCCATTTTTCTCTTTCTTTTTGCTTAGATGGATATATTTTAACAATATAAATCATTACAGTTATTGTAAGCATTTAAAAAATATTTTAATTATTGCTCCCAATATAATCATCTTCATTACTTTACTATTAATCCTAACACAATCATTTGGGGTTTGGAGTCACGGCGAGACAGTTGGGGAAATAGTGGGCTCTGATGAGCGCCGCGAAAGCTCTGGCTGCCGAACCGCCACCGATGGGTCTTCGGACTGGAACCATCCTGCAGGGATGGGGAAGAAAGAGGGGTGCCTCAGACGACCAAGAGGAACAGGCAAGTTCCTCGGAGGTCAGAGGGAACCCTCTGTGAGTTGGCGGCGGGGACGGCAGCCATGGCAGCTGCCACGAAGCTTGGACAACCAGACTAAGAGATGTGCAGGAGGAAAGTGGAGTGAAACAGAGCTCTTTGAAGCCGGGTGAGTGACAACCAACCCAGGCTTGTAACAAAGCTTAGAGCAATATTTTTAATTATAAGACCCCTAGCCTTAAAACAGTGGCTGAACAATAAAGGGGCTATGGAAAGTTTAAAACGTAACTTTAAAGAGACAAAGATCTGACAAAAAACTAACTTTTGAACAGAACTAATGGGATTAAATATCGAGACATGGCGAAAAGACTGATATTTTAAAATTTGAACTGGATCTTAAAAAAGAAGATTTGATATTCTTAAAATCAAAGGAAGAAGAGTAATTAAATTGGACTGTTATATAATTG